ATAGACAGATTGTCTTTACTTGCAAACCCATGATCATCTATGTGTACTATCCTAAGGAACTGACAAAAAATCTATAGGCATTGATAAGGGATTTCAGCAAAGACTCAGGGTCAATATACAAACGTCAATTGTATTTCTATTACTAGCAACAAACTAAAAATGAAATTTTTAAAACAATACCTCTTACATCAAAAAAGTATGGATTACATAGGAATACATTTAACAAAATACATGTAAGACCTATGCTCTGAAAGCTACACTGTTAAGATAAACTGGAAAAAAAACCTAAATAAATGGAGATGCCATATTCATGGATTAGAACACTCATTAATTAATATTAACATATCAATTCTCTCCAAACTGATCCAGAGTTTCAACAATCTCAGTCAAAATTTCATGAAGCATTTTTAAAGAAATCATCAAGCTGATTCTAAAATTTAGGTAGAAATGCAAAGGATCTAGAATAACCAAAACAATTTTGAAAAAAACCCAAAGTTGGTGGATTCATACTTCCTGGTTTCAAGACAAACTACCAAGCTACAGTTATCAAGATAGTATAGATATACAAGTGGCCAATAAGCACATGAAAAGATGCTCAATATTAGCCATCAGAGAAATGTTATTATTGGCCTATGGATAGATGTATATAGATCAGGGGTTGGCAAACTTTTTCTACAAAGAGCTTGACAGTAACTATTTTAGGTTTTGCACACCACATAAAGTCTCTGTTGCATATTTTTCTTTGCTTTTGATTTTTAACCTTTAAAAATATAAAAGTTGTTTTTAGCTTAAATCCATATAAAACAAGGCCATTTGGCCTGTAAGCCGTAGTTTGAATAAAAAGCAGAAATACATCCACGCATATATGGTAATTAATTTTCAACAAATATGTCAAGGTAATTTGCTCAGAAAAAAAAAACAGTCCTTTTAACAAATGATGCTGGATCAACTGGACATCCATATGGAAAAAATTAACTTCAACCTTTACTAAAAATATATACAAAAATTAATTCACAATGGATCATATCCCATATAACACTTATAAAAGAAAATTTCCATGATCTTGAAATAGGCATAGATTTCTTACACAGGACGTAAAAACAATGACCCATAAAAGAAAAATGTAATAAATAGGACTCCAACAAAATTAGAAATTTCTACTCTTTGAAAGATATCAGTAAGAAAATGAAATGGCAAGCCATAGACTAGGAGAAAATATTCTCAATGCATGTATCTGCCAAAGGACTTATATCAAAAGTATATATATAAAGAACTCTTACATTTGCTTCCTGAATTATAGTGAAAGGAAAGTAGAAAATTATATGAAAAAAAATTTTCTTAAGATTAAATTGTTTCTTTCTTTCTTTCTTTTTTTTTTTTTTTGAGACAGAGTCTCACTTTGTTGCCCAGGCTAGAGTGAGTGCCATGCCGTCAGCCTAGCTCACAGCAACCTCAAACTCCTGGGCTCAAGCAATCCTTCTGCCTCAGCCTCCCAGAGTGCTAGGATTACAGGCGTGAGCCACCACACCCGGCCTAAATTGTTTTAATATATATAAAAAAAGAACTCTTGCAATAACCCACTTTAAAAATAGATGAAACATTTAAGCAGACACTTCACAAAGAAAGATATACAATGGCAATAAGCTCATGAAAAGAGGCTCAACATTATTAGTCATCAGAGAAACGCAAATTAAAACCACAAGGAGGCCGGGCGCGGTGGCTCACACCTGTAATCCTAGCTCTCTGGGAGGCTGAGGCGGGTGGATTGCTCGAGGTCAGGAGTTCGAAACCAGCCTGAGCAAGAGCGAGACCCCGTCTCTACTATAAATAGAAAGAAACTAATAGGCCAACTAATATATACAGAAAAATTAGCCGGGCATAGTGGCTCATGCCTGTAGTCCCAGCTACTCAGGAGGCTGAGACAGAAGGATCGCTTGAGCCCAGGAGTTTGAGGTTGCTGTGAGCTAGGCTGACGCCATGGCACTCACTCTAGCCTAGGCAACAAAGCGAGACTCTGTCTCAAAAAAAAAAAAACCACAAGGAGATACCACTACATAGCCATTAAAATGTCTAAAATTAAAAAGACTAACCATACCAAGAGTTGTCAAGGAAGTGGCAGAAACAGAACTCTCATACACTGCTGGTGGAAATTTAAAATAGTATAACCACTTTGGAAAACAGTATGGCAGTTTCTTAAAAGGTTCAACATATATCTATCATATATCCAGCAATTCTACTCATCAATATCTATCCAAGAGAAATGGAAACATGTTCACACAAAGACTTGTACACAGATGTTCATTGCAGCTTTATTTAAAATAATAGCCCAACACTGGAAACAACGCTAAACAAATTTTAGTACTTATCAACAAAAAAGAACTACTGCTACACAGAACATGGATCAATCTCAATGATACAACGCTGAGTGAAAGAAGCCAGATATTAAAAAAGCACATATTGTATGATTTCATTCACATAAAATTCTAGAATATCTATGATGTCAGAAAGCAGATCAGTGGATGGATGAAGTGGGTAGCACATGAGTGATTTTAATGATGATAAAATGTTCTATATTTTGATTGTGGTAGTAGTTACATGGGTGTATATATTTGTCAAAACTGAATGAAGATTTTTTTTAAACTATGAACTAGTACTATTAAGTTCTATTTTACTTGTAAGAAAACCAAAGCGCTGAGAGGATAAGTAACTTATCCAAGAGCTAAGATTAAAATTCTGGTAGTTTTACTCTAAAGCCCACATTTCTAGCCACTATTTCACTATGCCTCTATAAAGGTGGACTACATCTATAATCTCTTCTCTTTTGGACACTATATATGCATTTATGAACAGGTAATACTTTTATAATCAGAAAAAAAATAACTTTTAAAAGACAGAAACTCTTTAGGAACTCCAAGATGACATTCGATCCGTTAATCACAACATGGGTGTATATGTTTTTGTTTTTTTGAGACAGAGTCTCACTTGGTTGCCTGGGCTAGAGTGCCATGGCATTAGCCTAGCTCACAGCAACCTCAAATTCCTGGGCTCAAGCAATCCTCCTGCCTCAGCCTCCCAAGTAGCTGGGACTACAGGCATACACCACCATGCCCAGCTAATTTTTTGTATATATATTTTTTAGTTGGTCAATTAATTTCTTTCTATTTTTGGTAGAGACGGTGTCTCGCTCAGGCTGGTTTCACACTCCTGACCTTGAGCGATCCGCCTGCCTCGGCCTCCCAGGATGCTAGGATTACAGGCGTGAGCCACCACGCCCGGCCCCAGCTGATTTTTTATACATATGTTTTTAGTTGGCCAATTAATTTCTTTCTATTTATAGTAGAGACGGGGTCTTGCTCTCGCTCAGGCTGGTTTAGAACTCCAGACCTTGAGCAATCCTCCTGCCTAGGCCTCCCAGAGTGCTAGGATTACAGACATGAGCACCGGGCCTGGCCATGGGTTTATATGTTAATTTTTATGAAGTCATTTATTTACCTGTATTATCTTCCAGTCCACATTTCTTCATCTTGTTCACAAATATAACATGTGAAACTTCATCAAAAGTCTTCCAGAAAATCAGATATACTATAACTATAGAATTTCCCTGATTCACCTATCAAGTAACTCTACACAGGAAATATTTGTAATAAATTCATGCCAGTTTCCAGAGACCACCACTTCTGTGTTCACATACCATCCTTTTAATAATGTGGTCTAGAATTTTGCCTGGAATCTACATCAACATCAATATTCTATAGTTCTCCCTAACTCCCAGGTCATCCAAAGACTGCAACCACTAGCTTAGCAATCTTTCTCCTACTGTAATGAGATATAGTTCACCAGGGAGGGGAGATCCTGAACTCATTTACAGTACTTAGGCCCTTTTGTATAATTCCTTTACATATTCTGCACTTCAGCTCCCTCCTACCATTATTTTCGTGGACCTTCCCAGAGTGAAGTAACTCAAATAAGAGGAGCTAGAGCTCTACTTTCCATTATCTGTTAAATCCTTTATCCTCCCCAGCAGCAAGACTAACTACACCTGCTCTAAACACAACTAAAAAAAAGCCTTTTTAAAAAAATGATTACTGGCATTTTCTGAAGGTCTCAAACAATTCTGGGATTTCTATTTTCTGAAGATGTTCTTATAGGTTTTGTCACTCTTTGTTTTTAAGAGACAAGGTCTCACTGTCACCCAGGCTGGAATGCAATGCCACAATCATAGCTCACGGCAGCCTTGAACTCCTAAGCTCAAGGGATTCTCCTTCCTCAGCCTCCTGAGTAAAAGGTAATTTCTTTTTGGAAACAGCTTGGTCATTTGGAACCAAGTCTAGTAAATAAGAAACAGTGATTTAGAGTACTGTATCATAGTACTTCAGAGCATGACTTTGAAGTATAACGGTATTAAATTTGAACCAGAGCTCTATCACCGAATTTCTACCAAATTATTTAAATTCTCTGAAACCTAGAATCCTCATCAGAAAAGTAATAAAGATATCATCCATTTCACAACCATTGTGAAGATTAAATGGAATACTGTATATATAGCTGCTAGCTATATATATAAAATATATACCATACATGAGAGTATGTGCATAGGTTATATACAAATACTACACCATTTAATATAAGGGACTGGAGCATCTGAGGATTTTGGTTTCCTCAGGGGGTCCTGGAACCAATTCCCTTCAGATAGCAAAGGATGACTACACATGGGGAACAATATGTTTGTTTTCTTCTTCTTTTCTCCACTTAGTGATTATAACCATTACTTCAAAGTGTGAACCACATATACTAAATCTGTCACTGGTAAACTTTAAGAAGGCAAGTGATTTTTCAGTTTATCCATGGTTCAACTACTCACATTTTGCTTCAAATTATTGAAGACTTTTTTTTTTTGAGACAAGGTCTCTCTCTGTCACCCAGACTAGTGTGCATGATCATAGCCTCAAACTCAAGCAAGACAGTATTTTAATGTAAGTAGAAATCAATGGGCAACTTACCTATGGAATCCATCTTTCAAAACTTCTTGCCTCAAAATAATTTCAGAACAAGTGGCCCTTATGCCTGTAAGAACCGAAAAATCTTTCTTTAAAAGCACTCAATGAAATGATATTTAAATAATTAGAAAATAATTATTTCAATAGGCTTTACTTGCCTGGAAAATCTAATCAACTTAAAAACTTTTAAAATTTAAACAATTTGAGCTACATATAAATCTATTTCCAGTATAGCATAGTGGTTAAGAACGTTGACTTAGGAGTTAGATTGTCTGATTTCAAATCACAGTTTGTCACTTAATAGCTCTGTGGCTTTGGACAACATAGTTTCTCTGCTAGCTGTCACAAGGATTTAATACATGTAGAAGCACACAGTAAGTACTTCACATAAATGTTTGTTATTATTAATAATATTACTTTATTCAGGTGATAAAGGATATCCAGGACACCAAAAAGGAACAGAATGACTAAAGAGCCAGGAAATCTGAGTTTTAATCCTAGCTCACCAAAACTGTGTATCAGATACATACCGGCAACTTCTATATTCTAATATCCATGCCTACAAAATAGGAAGATGGTATATTTATGCCTTGTGGAGGTATTGGGAGAGATAAAAAAAAAAAAAAAAAGCAAAACTAGAGGCACTTAAAGGTTCAAAGGGGACCTTTATAAATTTACTTTAGAACAACTGAAAACCTCACCATATTGACTCCGTGCAGAATTAAGACATCAAAATTATTACTCAATGTAAGAATCCTAAGACTACAAATTCTGACCACCAACTCTACCAGGCACCTTGCTAGAGAACTTTGCCCCATTTCAAAAGCTGTAAGCCTATGGGAAGAACATTAAAACAAACAGAAAACCATAAATTATTGATGTTGCTGAATCCATTAGATATATTCCTAAAAAGATGAATTAAGAAAAATAACATGAAGGTGAAAACACTTGAAGGAAAAAAAGAATAGAAAAAAATGACATTTGTTAAATAATATCTGTATGCCAGATCCTCTACTTGGGGCTTTCATATGTGTTTTAACTTTCACAACCTAGCAAAATAGGCAAAATTACTGCCCTTTGTACACAGGCAAAAACACAGACTTACAAGGATTAGTAACTGGCTCAGGATCATAAAAGTAAGTAAGTGACTGTCTAGAAGCAAAGTTTGCCTGGCTTTTAAAGCCTAAGCCTACTTCCACTCACCCAGCTATTTGAAGAAATCATATTTGAAGAAGCATATAGTATTTTCCCAAATAAACATATATGTATGTATCTCTTGTACAAATCCAGATTTTTCTTCATTTTTAATTTTAATGGGGGTAGAATGGGGAATAAGGGCTAATAGCTAGCTATAAATTAAATTACAACAAAAAAATCAGATTAATAGTCTCAACATCATTAGTCATCTGAGAAATGCAAAGCAAAACTACAAAGAGATGTCATCTCACTCCACTTAAAATGGCTTTTATCAAAAAAACAGGCAATAATGAATGCTGGTGAGGATGTGGAGAAAGGGGAACCCTTGTACACTATTGGTGGGAATGTAAATTAGCACAACCACTGTGGAAAACAGTATGGAGATTCCTTAAAAAACTACCATATGACCCCGAAATCCACTGCTGGGTATATATCCAAACGAGGGGAAATCAATATATCAAAAAGATATCTGCACTCCCATGTTTACTGCAACACTATTCACATTAGCCAAGATTTGGAATCAACTGAAGTGTCCATCAACAGATGAACAGATAAACAGAGTGGTACAAATACACGACAGCATATTATATAGCCACAAAAGAATGAAGTCCTGTCATTTGCAACATGGATGGAACCAGAGAACATTATGCTAACTGAAATACGCCCAGTACAGAAGGACAAATCTTACACATTCTGACTCATATGTAGGAGTTAAACATTAAAAACAATTGATCTCATGGAGACAGAGAGTAGAATGGTTATCAGAAACTGGGAAGGGTAGCAGGAAGGAGGGGATATAGTGGGGATGGTTAACAGGTGCAAAACTATAGTCAGATAGATAGAATGAACAATATTCAATAAAGTAACAAAGTAAAAAAATTAGGCTTACATTCTATTGTAATGTACACTAGAGAGTACTAAGTCACTTATCTTCGGATGGTAGAAAAGCTACTTTACAAACAGTACAGCACATACTAGATTATTTATGACTTTTAGGGCAAAAGTACCATTTTCAAAAAGAATTTGTTGTATCTGAATTCACCTTTAAGATTTTTCCTCTTAAATATTACTTTATTTGTCTACCACAGTGCCTCACACCTGTAATCCTAGCACTTTGGGAGGCCCACGCTGGAGGGGAGGATCGCTAGAGCCCAGGAGATTCAGGCTGCAGTGAGCTATGCGGATGACACCACTACACTCTAGCCCAGGCAGCATAGCCAGCCCTGTCTCAAAAAAAAAAAAAAAATTTACTTTATTTGATTGTGGTGGCCTGAACTGGCTCTGGATATCAACCCCTTTTTAATTATAAAATGCCAATGGAAGACCCTTTAGAGATCACCAAGTCCAGCTATTAAAAAAAATTTTTTGGCCTCATAAATGCTTTCTTAAAATGAATCTGGAGGCCGGGCACGGTGGCTCACGCCTAAAATCCTAGCTCTCTGGGAGGCCGAGGCGGGCGGACTGCTAGAGGTCAGGAGTTGGAAACCAGCCTGAGCAAGAGTGAGACCCTGTCTCTACTATAAATAGAAAGAAATTAATTGGCCAACTAATTTATATAGAAAAAATTAGCCGGGCATGGTGGCGCTTGCCTGTAGTCCCAGCTACGTGGGAGGCTGAGGCAGGAGGATTGCTTGAGCCCAGGAGTTTGAGGTTGCTGTGAGCTAGCCTGACGCCACGGCACTCACCCTAGCCAACAAAGCGAGACTCTGTCTCAAAAAATAAATAAATAAATAAAATGAATCTGGAAACCTAATATGTAAGCACAAAAACAGCACTGACTGACAGATACTGGTCTGACATCCTCATTTTACAGTTGGAGAAAGTCACCGGGTTTGTACTGACTTTCCTTCCCCTATCAAACGTTATCACATTATTTTAATCTCTCCTGCACGCGTCTGTTTCCCTCACTACATCACAAGTTCCACCGCGGCGGGGGCCGCGTCTGGCTCTGGGCCGGATCCACAGCGCTTCGCTTGCCCAACCCAGAGTCACTAAAAAAAAAACAACTCAGCCCAATCTGGTCTATTATCAAAGGTATAGATAAAACTAGTCGTTTCCCCAGTCTGTATATTCAGTTTGGGGATTCTCACACTTCATAGAGCGCCAAGGCCTCCCTTACTGGCCCCTTGGTGGTCAGAAGCTTCATGCACTACAAGATCATCCTAAGACACTTCACGGCTGTACTTCCTTTTCAATACTTTAGTAACAGTACGGCCAGTCTCGCCTCGACCAACAAAGCCCGACTCTCCAGAAACCCAGGATCGGCCACAAGCGAAGACACCGGAGGGAAGGCGGGAAGGAGGAGGAAAGCACGCGGCCTTTGTTTTTAACCTCCTCCAGAGCACCCTACCATTCCAGGGTCCCATGCTGGTTACCCGAAAGCCCTCTGCAACCCTCGGAGCTGGAGGGGACCCGGGAGTCCGGGCTGCTCCCCACCCCCGGGGCCCCCAAACCCCGCCTGCACTCGCGCAGCCCCGCCCCTCCCTTTACCAGGGTCAGAAGGGGCGGTGAAAGCCGTGGCGGGCCAGCGGGTGCGCCCAGTCACCGCCCAGAGGAGCAGCCAGGCTACTGCCCGGACAGCCACGGCGCAAGCAGCCAGGACGCCGGCGTGCGGGGACCAGATGCGGACGCAGAAGGGGGCCTGCACACGCTTCCCGCCGCTCCTAGAGCGCGCTGCCGCGGTCTTAGGGACTGGGGCCGAGGGCTCTGTGCGTGCCCCGCCGTACCCCCTCTACCTGCAGCCCTGGTCAGCAAAAGTTCCGGCGCCGCGTGAGGCGGCAGGCCGCGTCCCCTCGCCGCCCCGCCCCTCGCCGTCCAGGCCGGGGGCGGGGCGAGGAGCGGCGCAAGCGCGGTGGCGTGCGCCCGGGCTGTTGCTGTGGGAACCGCTCGACAAGCGCCCTGCGGGAATGTGAGCCCCGGCACCCTGTTGTGGGTGCCGGCTTGTTGACACCTGATCCGGCCTCCACTTCCGCTTCCAGGTGTTTGCGGAGTTCAGGCCTCCTGCTGAGGAGTTCGCTCCACAGTCACGTCTGCTGGGCTGTGGCTGTCGCCTCTTCCTGCAGCGCCTGTCGACCGCCCTCAGTCGACTTAAGTGCTCCTCTATGCGCTGCGGTTGGATGGAAACAACCCCCTCCCGGCGGTTTAGACGTTGGCCTGCGGGAGAAGATGCACTTTCTGTATTTCTCTAAGGGTAAGAAAGTCAGCCTTGGACTACTGGGATTGTGGGTGGGAAAAGGATCATCTAGCCCCGGGGGAACTCCGTATCCTCCTTAGGTGCTGTGGGGGATAATTACGATTATGGGCAGTCCCTTATCTCTGGGAAAAGTGTATTCAAATCCAGCAAGAATAATTAGGTAAATGGACTGTGGGTCTTTCTGAACTGAATGGAATCTGTAAGCAGGCCTAGAGAGTATCCAGTGCAGATTGAAGCAGAACAGAGGGCTCTAAGGGCCTCAAAGTGAGTGTCTCAAAAAGGAAAGAGAATGTATGTCAAAAATACTGTCTAAAATTGAGAATAGCAGTATACTCATGTTGTTAAGAAATACAGAGATAAATTTTGGAAGACATAGCTTTAAAAATTGAAACTGGTTCCCTATGAAAAGTAGGGCAGAGAACAATAGTTTTTTGTTCTCTCATAGAATTATTTTACATTCCAAACAGAGTACAAAAGTGTTTTAGTAAAAATTAAATTTTAAAAAGAAAGGATTCTGTAGTCAAACTACGTTTTGAGTATCAGTTGCATACATCATTCACGAGTACAGCCATTTGCTTGAATGTGTGGAGTTTATATTGTGCTCTATGGGATCTCCTAGAAAGTTTACTAACAGAATTTTAGCCAGGTGAACTGGGAGTAGTGTTGATTTAAAAAAAAAAAAAAAGACAGAAAAGAAAAGGAAGTAGAGTGGGGGAGGATCAACGCATCAATTTCCAGGCTGTGAACTAAAATAAAATTTTAAGGCTCACCCCCCCACCGGCTGACTAAATGGACCCCCCTTGTGGCCAAAGGAATGTCCTAAAACTAAATTGCCTGCCAGGAGGAAGGAGGTCAGACTTGCTTTGTCATGCCCCTCTCCCTTCTAGGGGACATCCTTTGTAACCCATTAACAAGCCTAAGGGTATGCAAGACAAACCTGCAGTTCCTCAATTTACACGCAAATCTATGTCCGGTGGCTTTTGTTGAAACATTCCAAGCCTCTAGACAAAGGTCAGGTCTTTAGCCAATTACAAGTCAAAGAATTTTTAGACCCACCTATAACCTGTAAGCCCCTCCTTTGAGATGGCCCACCTTTTCCAGCCAAACCTATGTATTCCTCCCTTGTGTTGATTTATGACTTTACCTGTAACCCCTGTCTCCCTGACATGTATAAAACCAAACTGTAACCCAACCATAACGAGTCCACTTACTCAAGGCTTCTTGGAGTGGCTCCGGGTCATGGTCCTCAAATTTGGCTCAGAGTAAATCTCTTTCAAATTATTTTACAGAGTTTGGCTTTTTTTTTCCGTTGACAAAGCAGCGCACAAGAATTTGAAAAAGCAGTTCTTTATATATTTTAATTTCATAAGAGTAAACATTCTCATGTCCAACAATAAGTGGTGACTAATACAGATTATGGTACATTCATAAAACAAAACACTTGGCAGTCATAAAATATTGCATTTTAGTAAAATATTTAATGACAAAATAACCACATAGGTTGTTAAATTTAAGTCGGGAAATAGTATGTATGATATTAAAAAATGTTATACTTTAAAAATATATATATACCTAGTAAAAGAGTGGAAGTAATCAAGGGTGATTATTTTATATATGTTTCCTAACCCCCTCCTTTGCCCCAGTTTTCTACAATGAACATGTATAATCACTGTTAAGTATTTTTAAAATGGCTATGTTCCTATAGTGATTCTTAATAGAACTGAATTTATGAAGATATCTCACACTAAGCCACTTTACCTCAGATGTTTCTCCCCTCCCCTTCCCTATTGTTTTTTTAAGAGACAGGGTCTGGCTCTGTCTCCCAGGCTAGAGTGCAGTGGTACTGTCTTAGCTCATTGCAGCCTAGAACTCCTGGGCTCAAGCAATCATCCTACCTCAGCCTCCCTAGTAGCTGGAACTGCAGGAACACACCACCATGCCTAATTTTTTAAAAAGTTTTTTTGTAGAGATAAGGTCTCCCTCTGTTCCCAGGCTGGTCTTGAACTTTTGGGCTCAAGTGATCTTCCTACCTCAGCCTGCCAAAGTGCTGGGATTACAGTTCTAGCCACCATGCCCAGCACTTCAAGGTTTCTTAACATTTGCAATCTTGAGAATGTCATAGCCACATCTAAAGCAGTTCACATAATTAAGTGTCTTTTGGCATTGAGGATAGAGAAGAGAGAATAAAAATATAAACAATCAAATAGCTATGTTTCTTATAACTGGAAAAATACCATATAGTGAAACAAATAAGCTGAAATAAAAGCCATGTAGGCCAGGCGCAGTGGCTCATGCCTGTAATCCTAGCAGTCTGGGGGGCCAAGGTGGGAGGATCGCTGAAGGTCAGGAGTTCGAAACCAGCCTGAGCAAGAGCAAGACCCTGTCTCTACTAAAAATAGAAAGAAATTAGATGACTAAAAATATATGGAAAAGATTAGCTGGGCATGGTGGCGCATGCCTGTAGTCCCAGCTACTCAGGAGGCTGAGGCAGGAGGATCGCTTGAGCCCAGGAGTTTGAGGTTGCTGTGAGCTAGGCTGATGCCACGGCACTCTGGCCTGGGCAACAGAGTGAGATTATTGTTTTGTATGTGAAGAGACTAATTCTGTGTCAGGTCTGCCTTTTTTTTTTTTGTTTTGTTTTGTTTTTGTTTTTTCCATCCTAGTTTGTCCTATGGTCTGCCTTTTTGATCAGACTTCCAGACTGTAAATACTTAGAGGATATACAGGGGCTATCTTATATTAACACATAGCATTAAACAAATATTTATGAAATGCCTACTAAGTTCCAGGTATTGTGCTGAGATGTGAAAAATGGATATGCTCCCCACTTTCAAGTAGCATATAGAGTAGAAGGAAAGATAGATGATCAAATAAGTAATTGGAAAAAGCTCAATGAGTAAAATAATTGGAAAAATACAAGGTAGGCAGCTTTGGTCTAATGAATCACTCAGGACAAAAAACTCATAGTACCTTGAGGGTGCTTGATACATACTTTTTTGTTTGTTTCAGCATATTATGGAGGTATAAATGTTAAGGTTATGTATATTGCCCTTACTCCCCCTCCCCCCTCGAGTCAGAGCTTCAAGCGTGTCTGTCCCCCAGAGGGTGCACATCAGCACTCATTATGATACATACTTTCTTAATTGATAAATAGTAAAGACCCTACCATTCAGTTGTTGGGCTGACTCAGAGGTTCATGTACAGTCTTTGATAAGAGTGCAGGACACTTAGAGTTCCAAACTGAATTGCAATCCCAGGCTCACATGTGAACCAACTTACATCCTTCAATGAACCAGAGAATCTTAGGGATCCAACAGACTGAAGCTACTAACCCAAGGTAAAACTGACCTTTCAGGCCCTTGAAGGAGTGAGCTTCATAGGCTGAGCATATGTCTCCAGAACTGGACTAGAGCCAGATCAACCAGGGAGGAGAGAGGAGGGCAGTGAGATTTATCTAATACCTAATTGTTTTTTTTCCTTTTTCCTTTAGCAGGAAGTCATTATGCAACTAACACATTTTCATCAGATTTCCTCTGATTTACCCTGAAGTGTATGTGAGAATAATGTACACTGCCAAGAAATGTGGGATTAAATTCCAGCCTCCAGCTATTATCTTAATCTATGAGAATGAAATCAAGGGGAAAAGTCGCCAGCGAATTATGCCAGTCCGAAACTTTTCAAAGTTTTCAGGTACCTCATGTTTTATCTTGCCTCCTTTTTAAAATATTCTCTAAATCACTTAACAAGAATAATTTGAGTCACATGCAATGGAGTGACATGGCTTTTAGAGTTAGACAGAGCTAGGTTCAAATCACAGCACAGGAACTAGCTGTATGACACTGGCTAAATTACTATCAGTGCGCTTCCATTTCCTAATCTGTAGAAGGAAATTGATAATTTTTTTCCAGTTTTATAATTGATAATTTAATCCTTTGGGGATTATTATATGGGTTGAAGGAGATAGCATTATTCCATAATATTAATTCCCTTCTCTTACTCCAAATGTTTATTTAGAATCTTGATTTTTATTAGTATCACTACTGCTATCTAAAAGCTATGATACCACTTTTTCTTCTTATTTTCTCCAGTTGAAAGTATTTAACATCTCCACAAAATGATTTTAAGTTGAGGAGGTAAAAAATACATCCTTCCCCCACCATATTCAAAGTTCAATGTAAAGAATGGTTGTATATAATAATTCATTCTTATAAAGCCATGTAGCTACTTGGCTATAATGGAGATAATGCTTTCAGGGTTCTGAGTTTTTTGTTCTGTTTTGGCTCTTGAAGTAGTTTGTAGTGCATCAGTTGTTTGTGTATATATGATGTATGTAGTATACAGGGTTTTTTCTCCCTCCTAGATTGCTCCAGAGCTGCTGAACAATTAAAGAATAATCCACGACACAAGAGTTACCTGGAACAAGTATCCCTGAGGCAGCTGGAGAAATTATTCAGCCTTTTACGAGGTTACTTGTGGGGACAGAGTTTGGCAGAAACAATGGAACAAATTCGACGGGAAACAACCATTGATCCTGAGGAAGACCTGAACAAACTAGATGACAAGGAACTTGCCAAAAGGAAGAGCATCATGGATGAACTTTTTGAGAAAAATCAGAAGAAGAAGGATGATCCAAATTTTGTTTATGATGTTGAGGTTGAGTTCCCACAGGATGAACAACTGCAGTCCTGTAGCTGGGACACAGAGTCAGCTGATGAATTCTGATACCAGACACTCAAAAAAGTTACTGGGCTAGCCAAATATCCATATTTATACAAAGTACATAAATTGATTCTAGAAAAAAATCTTTAAAGAACACTAAATGTATATGTTGGTCATAATTAGAATGACCATGTTACTTTTCAAAACCAGGATATTTAGAACATCTACTATGTAGGTGCACGAGAAATATAGGAAAAAGAGAATAAAGGAATCTGCCTTTGAGGAGCTTACAGTTTAATTGGAAGATAAGTCAAAAACCTGTGAAAAGCTAATTTACAGTATTAGGCAGTGAAAAGATTAGAGCCAGATGCTTAAATAAAGGCTAAAAAAGGTTAGAGCCTAGATTATCATAGGGTAGAATAGTAGGGGAAGACTTTGTCCTTTAGTGGGAAGACAGGACTTTGCATAGTCCTTGAAATGGTAATATTTGGATAGAAGCTTGTGTAGGATTCCAGATGAGAACAACTAGAAAGAAGAGTGGAGGGGAGAAGGTAGTAAAACAACAAGAAATAGAAATTTGTATTTGATTAGCATCTGAAGTGGGCAGAAAAAAAAGAAATTTGTATTTGAGAAACAGTAAGCAAATTATAGTTTGACAAGATTGGAGGGCATATATGGTATAGGGAATTATCCTGTATGCATTGTCTTTATATGTGTTTGACTATAGTGGAAGAGTGCCCTGTAAAATGCCCTGCAGCTGCAAGTAGATGTCATTTGATGGACAACAGGGGAATTCTGCCCCTCTGGTATCATATCAGGAAATATATACCAAAGATATTCTGAAACCCTGAAACTCTTCCCATAAGAGGTTTGTTTATAAAATGGGAAATCCACCCATAATAAATGAACAATAAGTGCTGCCAGTTTAGACCTATTCATGATTTGGATCTACAAGAGAGGATCTTTGTTTAACAAGGTTGTCTGTGTATAGATACATTTATTACTAAAATATTATTTAGATGATAGAAATTCCATGTTTTCTATGAGGAAATTAGTATTCATTAAATAAAACTGTAAAAATAATTATTCACTTCTTCTACTTGTCCATCACTAACTAGTCTCTTTACCATTAAATGCCCCATTAATGGAATCATTCTTGTAGTGTTATCATCAGGATCTTAAGATAGTCATCTCTCATATGTATATTTGCCAAAGGTAGCAAAAGAATTTTCAGAATTAGATCTGAAATCAGAACAGATCTTTCTGTATCTACTGTATCATAGTATTCAATTTATTCCATTGTGTAGATGTAGTTAATTTATTTTTAAAGTTGACCTTGAGTGGTCTTCTTTCATTACTACATACAGTGCTACAGCCAATAACCTTGTACATTCTCCATTTTGCACATGTGTGATGTGAGCATATCTATAGGATAAATGCCTAAAGAGAAATTGCTGGGTATGTGCAATCTAACATTTAATAGATACTGTTAAGTGGTCCTCTGTAGAGGTTCACTCATTCAGTATTTGTACTTAATGAGCACCTACTACATTCTAAGCACATACTATTCTAGGTTTGGGAATACAGCAGTATACATAACAAAGTCCTTGCTTTTAAAGCATTTATAGTCTAGTTGGAGAATAGAGACAATGAACATAAATACATAGAATAATGTCAGATGATAGATACTGTGAAGAAAAAGCAGGGTAAAAGAATGGTAGAACAGGTGGGAGCAATTGTTTTAGATCAGGTAACTGAAGAAGTAATGTTTGAACAAAGGCCTGAAGGAGGTAAGGAAAAATTGATATGTATTTCAGCATTAGTGGTAAAAGGCAAGTGCACAGGCCCTGGGGCTGGAGTGTACATATTTCAGGAAACACAGAAGGTCAATATAGCTAATATAGATTGGGCAAAAGAGAAAATGGTAGGAGATAAAGTTGGAGTGTATTTTACCATTACATAGATAGTACTTATCGTGAATGTTGTACCAACTTAAACTGTCAGCAATACATGAGAGTATACCTTTTCCCTATATTTATCAATAGAGTGTTAATCAAGCTATAAATATATACATATATATATATATATATATATATATATATATATATACATTTTTTTTTTGAGACAGGGTCTCCTGCTGCCCAGGCTAGAATGCAGTGTCATCATAGCTCACTGTAACCTCGAACAAAGTTCAAGCAATCCTCCTGCCTCAGCCTTCTGAGTAGCTAAGACTAGAGGCGCATGCCACCTACCTGGTTAATTTTTTTAAATTTTGTATAGAGACGAGATCTCACTATTGCCCAGGCTGGTCTCGAACTCCTGGCCTCAAATAATGTTCCTGCATCAACGTCCCAAAGTGCTAGGATTACAGGTGTGAGCCACCATGCCTGGCCAAATTTTATAATTTAAATGTGGTACCTCACAGTTTGTGTTTCTCTTATTTGAGTGGGACTGAGTATTATCACATATTTAAGAGCCATTTTTTTGTGTGAAATAACTGTTATGTCCTTTTCTCATTTTGCTATTGGGTTGCTAGTCTTTTTCTTACAGATTTATAAAAGTTATTTATTAAGGAAATTAGTCCTTGGTCTATGATGAACTGCAAGTATTTCCTTCCACCTTGTCAATATTTTAAAAATTTTTTTATAATTTTCTAGCCAGAATTTTTTAAATGTGATTAAATTTAATCATATTTTTTCTATACTTCTACATTTCCAGTCATATAGAAAGGCATTCCTCACTCCAAGATTATTTTTTAAAAAATTTTTTCTATATATGAGTTTATTTTGCTCTAAGATGTGAAGTGAAACATGAATCCAACTTGATTTTTCTCCAGATGCCCATCCAATTGTCCCACACCACTATCTATTAAATTATGTATCTTTACCCCATTGATTTGAAATGTCACCTTTATCATATACTAAATTCCCATATGTAGCAGAATATTTATCTTTTGATGATAATGTCATCTGTAGCACACTTCCCAATTCACGTTTTTTGATGTTTATTGAGCACATCTCATTTGTCTTCTAGGTTAGAAGTTTTAGAAAGATACAAAATAGTCCATAACTTTTGCCTTTGAGATGTTACATGTTTAGCCAAAGCAACAAAATTAGCACATATGCAATAGAGGTACTGACTATAACTAGAGCAGAAGGGGGAGATCATGTGAGTTGAGCAGTTTGGGGGATCTTTTCTCCATGTGTCTTGTTCTGTCCAAAGTTAATTTCTCTGCTGAGCTCTTTGAAATGTTTTTTCCATTTTAAAATTAATACATATTCATTATTTTAAAAATTTAAACAATTACCAGAGTATAAAAGTAAAATGGGATAGTTCTCCCCCCACTTTCTCCCCCACAATTCCTACTCTGCAGAGAAATTGGTTACCTTAAGTGCTCTGGATCCTTCCTCTTGTGACCTTGCTTCATCAATTATTCTTTCTCTGTGTCCCCTTCTCTCTCATTTTCAGCTTCATTCTTTTGCTAGCTCATTCTGTGCAGTCTGTAAACATATGCAAGCCTCTTCCATATTAAAACATAAAACACTTGACTTTGCCTTAAGTCTTTCTGTACCTAATATTGTATCTAACCAAAGTCTAATTCATCTCAATATTACAGAACTCTAACATTCCCTCTAACCTCCACTTTTTAGAGCAGATCTAGCTATAGTCCAGTTCTGGAGACACATGGTCAGCCTACAAAGCTCAATCCTTCAAGGACTGCCCTGAAAGTTCAGTTTTGCCTTAGGTTATCCTCAGTCTGTTGAGTCCTAAGATTCCCTGCTTCATTGAAGGGTATAAATTTGTTCACATGTGAGCCTGGGATTCCAATTCCATTTGGACTTCTAAGTGTCCTGCATTCTTACCAGAGACTGTATATGAACCCCTGAGTCAGCCCAACAACTGACCTACAGAATCTTTTCTATTTATCAATTAAGAAAGTATATATCAAGTACCCTCTGTGTCAAGGTACAGTGAGTTTTTTAACCTTAAATATTTTGTCCTGGGAGATTCACAAGACCAGATCTGTCTACCTGTACTTTCCCAATTATTTTACTCATTAAGGTTTTGTCATTATTTAATCACCTATCTAATATTTTTACAAAAGTAGTAATGGATGAAAATTGAGGAAAAGCCACTAGATTTGGCAACTAGGTCTCTGTTAATATTCAGTAATGAAGCTTGAAATATTCAATAATGAAGCTTGAAGGGAGTGATTAGGATAGAAATTGCAAGATAATAAAAAGGAAACAGGATCATAGACTTAAATGAAGAAGTTAAAACTACAACTTTTAGAAGAAAATAAAGGAAAAAAATCTTCATAATCTTAGGTTAGGCAAAGAGTTCTTAGAATTGGCACCAGAAATACAATCTATAGAAGAAAAAATTGATATATTGGATTTCATTAAAATTTTTAAATCTTGCACTTCCAAGATAACATTGAGAACATAAAAAGTCAATCCACAGACTAAGAGGAAACATCTGCAAACCAAATATCTGAAAAAGGACTTATACCCAGCATATATAAAGGACACTTACAACTCAAGAAGAGAAAGAACACAATTTAAAAATGGTCAAAAGATTTACATAGATATTTCACCAAAGAAATACGCCATGTGCATGCAAAGCACATGAATGGATGTTGAACAGCATGAGCAATTGGGGAAAGGCAAATTAAAGCCACAATAAGATACTACTTCATACCCACTAGAATGTCCATAAAAAAAAAAAAAGACATAATAACAAGTGTTGATGAGGATGTGGAGAAACTGGAACCTTCATACATTGCTAGTGGTAACGTAAAATGTTAGAGCAACTTTGGAAAACAGTTTGGCAATTTCTTAAAAGTTACACAGAAACTCATTACACAGGTTCACAGCATCCCAAATCTGAAAATTTGAAATCTGAAATGCTCCAAAATCCAAAACTTTTTGAGTGCCAACATGATGCTAAAAGGAAATAATCATTGGAACATTTCAGATTTTGGATTTTTGGATTAGGGTTGCTGAACTAGTAAGTATAAGGCAAAAATTTCAAAATTTTTTCAAAATCCAAAATTTGATACACTTCTGGTCCCAAGCATTTAGGGTAGGCGTCCTCAAACTACGGCCCCGGGGCCACATAAGGGTATTTTTGCCCATTTGTTTTTTTACTTCAAAAAACGATATGTGGAGTGTGCATAGGAATTTGTTCATAGTTTTTTTTAAACTATAGTCTGGCCCTCCAATGGTCTGAGGGACAGTGAACTGGTTCCCCCTGCCTAAAAAGTTTGAGGACCCCTGATTTAGGGTAAGGAATACTCAAACTGTACCACCCAGAAATTCCACCCATAGAATTCTACCTAAGAGAAATGAAAGTATTTGTCATGCAAACACTTGTATGTAACTGTTCATAACAGCATTATTCATAATAGCCAAAAAGTGAAAATGATACAAATGTCCATCAATTGCTGGATGCAGAAACAAAATGTGGAATATCCATAAAATAGAATATAATGCAGCAATAAAAAGAAACTAAGTAGTGTAGTGATGCATGCTACAAAGGATGATCCTTGAACACATAATGAGAGAAGCCAGATAGTAAAGACTACATATTATGTGGCCTATTTAATGAAATATTTTTTAAATGAAATATTTTTTAAAAGGCAACCTTATAGAGACAGAATGCAGATTATCACTTGCCCAGGGCTGAGGCTAAGGAATGGGAATTGACTGTAAATGGGTATAAGAGAGATTTTAGGGGTGATGGAAACACTTTAAAACTGTATTGTGTTTTGTTTAAACAATTCTATAAATTCACTAAAAATCATTGATCTGTGCACTTAAAAACAGGTGAATTATATGGTATTAATATATATTGAAGTATATAAATTATATCTCAATAAAGCTGTTAGAAAATAAGAAGAAAATGTCTGCAGACCGGTGTTCTAAGACCAAGCAAGAAGGGCCAAAGATACGTATAAAACTTCCTTGGCCCTGCATAGAGGTGGAGATGGAAAAAGATTGGAGAGGCCGGGCGTGGTGGCTCATGCCTGTAATCCTAGCACTCTGAGAGGCCGAGGCAGGAGGATCCCTCAAGGTCAGGAG